GTGCATGTTCTGTGAAGATATATAAGAGAAACAAATGAAATATGAATGAAAACGTAATATGAAATGTATAAAAGTGATGCTATATTTATGAAATGTTTCTTAATAAAATGTTACAAAATATTTGTATATTTAAAATTGAAATATTAAATAAAAGTAGATATATATAAAGTTTAATTACTTAAATTAAATACCTTGAAACTACAGGATGTTTATTAGGTATAAGTTCTATCGTCTCATTATCATTAAAATGTAATTTCTTGTCCTTTTGAAACTGTCTAGATGGAACAAGCAATTGTCCATAAGAAATTTCCTAAAAACACACAGATTTTATGAAATTGAATGCTTTGATTTTATATTATTTAATTAAATACCTGGCCGTCTTTAGCACGTTCTACACCCAATAAACCAAAAGGGTCAATATTATCATTAATTGCTGATAGTGGCCTTTGTGAAGAAATATTTTTTCTTCGTCCTGTATCTTTTCGCAATTCAGACCTGTAAAAAGAAAAAGAGAATATATAATAATACATAATGTATTTGAAACAGAGGTTTACTCAATTTTCACATTTATCTTACCAACTCGACCTCTGACCCTTATTATATGGAAGAGCAGAAAATACTAAAAATGGCACACGTTTACTAGAAACCAAAACTAGTCTATCATCTCCAAATTTATAACCATTTACAGGTCGTTGCATTAAACGCAACTCTCTTGTAACTTCTGGTATTATGCCACTATTTGCAGAACCAGATTGTACATTATTTGATGTCTTTGTTTTAGATTTTGTGGATTGTGGTTTGGAACGTAAAGAACCAATGCTTTCATTGGAACTATTATACTGATGCTTTATATCTTCCGAAAGAGTAGATGTTTGATGAGTTATACGTTTTTTATATTGTAAAGAACCTACTCGCCTTTCAGGTAAAGAATATTCACTGCCAGTTGTGCCAGTACTAGGAAATAGAAATAAATAACTTGTATTGTTTCTTTTCTAATAATGTATGGAATATAGTACATATATAGAAGTATAATTATATGTAGCTCTTAATCATACAATTACTATAATTTTAAATGAATTACAATATTAAACTTTAGTAAAATATAGACACATATTTGCCTATAATATAATAAAAAATTAATTTTCTGATGTTAAATTATAAGACAAACTATACCACACAACAATCAATTATAGAATTATAATTACTAACAAGCAAATTTATCTAAAATAATTAATGTTTACTATTTTAGCATTATATTATTAAAGTTACATCACTCCAATTAGATTATACAATACTATAAATACACTTTTCCAATTAAATTAGTATAATTAAAGTGTAAAGTTAGATTTAACATTAGAAGGAGATATTATAGTACCTTAATAACTTAATATAAATGTAATACAAAACTTAGTACTATTTTAAAAAGTAAACCAATAATTTTATTAATATTAATTGGATACATTTTTTAAGCATTCTCATTTTGTATTTTTTACATTTTTCTTATTTTATTTTTAATTTTACTCATGAATAAAAATATCTTAACAGCTTTATAAAATTAATACTGATATTTAATATTATTAATGTATAAAACACCAATAATGTAAATAATAAAAATAAAAAACTTATCACTGGATACATAAAATACTCAATATAGAATAATTTCTCTAACATGATATTATAAAATAAGTTACATTAAATAACTTTTAATACAATTTTAATTTCTTCTTCAATTGCATATATTAAATGGCAATCATAAATAATAAATCTTACAACAATTACAAGTAATTTTAAGAATGATTAAGACACTTAGACCAATTCATTGTTGTATATTACATGAAATAATTTATTTCATTCTGTAGAAGTGTGTTATGAAATCAACAATATACTTATTCATATGTAAACAGAAAATAAATTTTATGTTATATTTACAAACAACTGTAAATTTTATTTATTATATCTTTTATTTTATGAAAAAACAAGGCAACTAAAGTAAATCTTTATAATATAAGCAATTAATAAATTAATTCCTGTGAACATATATAAATTGTAAAATTATAAGAAATCAAATCTGAATTTAATAACTTTGCAAAGTGAAACAGGGTATTATCTTACATCTACGGAATCAAACAATTGTTTACCGTTCTCTGAATGAACTATGAAATCCAGTAGAGAGCTGTGGATAATTTCTTTCTTGTTCTAAGAATACAGCCACTGCTGCCTTTGCAGGAGTTAATAACCCATCAGAATTTGAACTAAATGAATTGTGTTCATCACTCTTTGGCACTAATTGTGGTGAGCTTGCTTGTTTTGCACATGAGGGTGTTAAATGCTCTTCTATGCAATCATCAAGAACTTCTTCAGTAGAAATAGTCGAATCAGTTTGACGAACATCAACCTGATGGGCCTGACTATCGCTCAGGGTACGTGTATGAGAAACACCATTCCGCGAAAGAACAGCTAACTTAGTATCGCGGTGGCTGCCATCGAGGGAGATGTTCGAAAGAAATGTTAACGCGGCCAACCTTCTACGTGAATGATTCTTTTTTAAGGCTGCTGCCATTCCACGGTTGACTGTGTCGATAAACCGGTGTTACCGAGTACCAACGTAAACGACCAGGAAGGAGACGAACGCTCGACAAGGATTTTTATCAAACGAGGACAACTACTAGGATCACAATTCATTATCACCATTTGTACACTTAGTCCTGACATTTTCCATAGACGTGCTCACACAGCGCACGTAGAAACGTGAACCGGTGTCACTCATCATCGTACTGTTTCCTCTCATAAGATTAAAAAACAAATCCTGCTACCAATGAAACAATCTTCCTTCCTACTACGCAACACTGCGACCCATCCTCTTGCCGACCAAGTAATACCCTCTACTCTGTTCTGCGACTGCGCGTATTCTTACATATTAATATCGTAATATAGAGAATTTTCTAGAAATTTTATGTTTTTCTTTAAAATATTCATCATGCTTTTCTTTAGAAAAAATTATTGTTGTAATATATTTTAAGAGTTTTATAGAACTTTTCATCATATAAATTATTATGTTTAGAAATTAATAAGAATACTTTAAAATTAAATATATAAAGCTAATTTTATTGTCTTCTTAATTTCTACGTTAGAAACATACGTTATTTTCTCATATTAATACTATTTTACTATTTAAAAAAATATATTAGCTATAAAAGTATCAATATTAGTTAATTTCGCAGTTATAAATAAAATTACTAAGGTAAAAACAATATATTTTTATAACAATCAATATGAGAATTACAAAATTCCTAACATAGTATAAATTATTAAACATTACTTTGTTTATATTCACATTTAGCAGTGCAAAAAGAAAATAATTCATAACAAAATTATAATCGAAATTAATAAAAGAAATATGATTTATTAAAACAGCAATTACATATTTTCATAATCATTTCAAATGTGTATATTTTACTTGATATTAATATTAAATCCTTACCCTCCAATGGCACTTCCAGTTCTAATATTCATAAGGTTATCAACCAACAGTCGATAACTTTTAGTTTCAATTGAGAACAAAAACTGTATATAATTATTTATCTATGTATAAAAATGTCCAAAAGAGTTAGTATAATAATTGTTGAAAATGTTAGATTTATAAAATATAACCTTTTTATATTCCATTGTAAAAATTCATTTTCTTTGCAATAACTACTTTTTTTTTTTTTAAGAGACCACTTGGACACTTGAAAACATATACATAAACTCATATTTTTATCAATATCTTATAGATAATTGACAAAGCAGTTCTTACTTGTAAAATTTTCTTAATCGATAAAAAAAAAATTATTTGTAACGAACTATAAAATAATCTATTATAAATGCATAAATTAATTTGATATAAATAAGATTAAAGAACGTTCATAAAATTAAAATCTTTCTTTGCTACTATTAACACTGTTTCCTTGATATTCTTAATGACATGAAACAAGTAACATTTACTTACATATTGCACTTCAAAAACAAGATATTATAAATACATAATTTGATTAAAAGTATATTATTTTCTGTTATCAATAACAAAAATTTTCCAGAAATCGTCGTTCAAACAATTTATAGGTATTATTATCCTTTTGTATATAACCAGTGTTACTATTTATTAAAACTTAACGTTTAAGCAAAATTGAAAGTAATTGTATTTGTAGTATTATTAAGGATTTTAAATTTGTTAGATTTATCCAAAATATACGTAATTTTTATATATTGTATCTATTATAAACCTATGCATAAATAAATCTATATTAAATGTACAGAATACAAGTTAACACACTGTGCTATTGGAAGCAAAAAACTAGTCTAATCGATATAAAAACGTTAATGTTACGCAAAAAGGAGGTATCATTAAATTACATATTTTATTGTATCAAATATATAGAACTAAAAGACTAGCAATGAGAAAACAAATATTATGTCACATTATTTATTTGAATTTTCAGAAATAATTTCAGTATTTTATGATTTTTCAACATTTATCTATATGTTGCAATATATTACTGAATAGGAAATCCCGAAATTAAATTAAATATTTAATTACTGCAAAATTATTAATGACTGTAACTTACACCTACAAATTTTTACATACTCAATATTTTTAAACTTGTAACAATTTATGACATAAAATGGTTTATAGTCTAAGAAATAAGAAACGCAAAAAAAACTAAGTTTATCATTAGAAATATCTTAGAATAGCTAGTATAGAATCATTCTCCATTTATACAACTTCAATTATTTATACGATCCTAGAATTTTGTAAACAATGTGACAATTATTCAAATGATATTATAAACTAATTTCTACAAGCAATAATGTTCATACAACATTTTGTCAATAATTATAAAGAAATTTATATTTAATTTACACAATGATAATAGAAAATTCCGTAAACTCTGAAATAATCTAAAAGGATATCGCAACGAGAATAACATCCAATCATTTTAAATATACAAAGCCATCCACACTGTATTTTCAAAATAAATAATTTCATCAGTTTCTTGTGATGATCGAACAGATGATTAACAATCATAGTATTTGTTGCTATGATTGTTTATGCTAAATATAGATTTATTATCCATAACTAAATGTCCAAGCTAGAGCATAAAAAATCCTAGGATGGTTATAGATGCTGCCATCGTGTTGATATAGGACTACTTGAAGATTCAATAGCCCTTGATATGGATTCATATAGCCCATGCCCCAACCACATTTGATTCAATTGCCTGTACTTATCATGACACAATCGAAGTGGATTTCCTCTTCGTAAACCTTGATCTGTTTCTCCATATTCGTCGAGATAAGGTGCACAACCAAAAGATCCTCGATTTGAAATTCTTAAAAACAGGATTTCACATTCTCGTATTCGTAAAAATAATCCTACTCCAGCTCCACATTTGATTGCGTGGTATGTACACGCACCAACCATTGCATCGTATAATTGATATTGGCAACAATAACTTTGAGAACATAACATTTTGCCACATACCAAACACAGCGTTGGAGTTTTAGAATCTTCTCGTACGTTATTTGGACACGTAAACGACGATATCATATTTATCAATTCACTATAATCTTCTGGAAGCTCCAGTAATTTGTTAACTTTCAAAGGTTCTTTTATTATTGTGAGTGTACTAGCACCAGATAGATGCATTTGTACAGTGGGATGACTTTTCCAAATATTTATTAATCTTATAATTATATCTAAATTTGGCTTTATTAATTCATCACATGTTGTTGGTAATCCCAAATATGCACAGATATTTTCATATGTTGCTCCACCTACTTTAGTTAGTTCCTCTGGTGCTGGAACATCAGATATGTAGTGAAAATAGAGAGCACAACATCTAAGAAAAGGCAAAGAAGCTTTTGTGATTCGTCTCCATATATTAGCAGCTGATTGAGTACCAATATTGACATTTAGAGCTTGCACCAATTTGAGGATAGATTCTGAATATGTATTTTCAGTTGTTTCTGGGCTATCTATGTCCATCTCATCATTAAAATCTGATGTTAATAGTATTTTTACTATAAGAGCTATAAATATAAGTTGCAAGGCATAGAATTCAATTATTCCACCTGTAATGAGTGATGGTACTTTTTTAAAACTTGTACAAAAGAGACTGGGAAATGAGTTAATTAAAGGAATAAGCACTCCAAATGGATCCCAATCTAAAATACTTGGCCCTTCGTGGTGGTTTCTTAATAACAGCGTTAAAAGATGAAGTGCATTATTTTGAATAATTTGTCTGTCAATTTGTATATTATATTTACATGCTAAAACAGCTGAAATTCTAACAAGTCCTTCTAAACTGTCTCTTTGTCTATATGACAATGCACCGAATAAAGGTTTATCCATATCACGTAGAAGGAATTCTATAGCATGAATACTATACGCTATCGATTTCCATGCTAATAATGGTACCCTGTTGTCATCTTCGTGATGTACAGTGCCAAATTCCTTTGTATATGCTGCTTGTGCAAAATGATGAATTGTAGATAGTAAATCAATCGAAATATATGGACGAGGCTGACTATAAACTGACTGAAATATATTTGCTACATTTCCAAGTTCATCATGAATAGCTTGTATATGACATAGAAGTGGCCTTACACAATACCAACATGTCGGATCATGTTTGTCTTTAATAGATTTTATTTTATCGAAAAATCCATTTATATCATAGTTATTATCTTGTACTATAATATTTAAAGCTTTCAACCATGTATCAAAATCAAGTTCAGGTTGTTCTTGAGAAATTGGTTGCAATATACTTATAGCTGGTAAAAGTGGTAAAACAATATTACTGAGACATTCACAAAGTGGGCAAAGATATTCTTGTTTTTCCACATCAAAGCTTGCTGGCTGCCGTGAACGGAATGGTCTTCTACTCTCTTTTGCAATTACATTACCATAATACTCTCGCCAACAATGTAGATGCATTATATGACCACAAGTACTAGTGTGTGGTGATGCACCAAGTTTTGCAGAAAGATATAATGGATCAGGTTCATCAGTATTAGGTCTGTATTGACACAATACAGTGGATTGTTGAACAAATGCAGCTAATACCATTGCTGGACCAGCTGCAGTTACAATTTGATCTTCCTGACATAAAATACAAGTTTTATACGTTTTTTCATCAGAAATTCTTTCTGTTTGTCTAATACCAACAGCAACAGGTATTTTTCGAGGACATTTTTCTGAATTCATACTAGAGTCTTCATTATTAGATTTATCTGTATCTAAAGCAGGTTCTGCAAACAATTCAGCATTTTTTCGCATAAAATGCTTTTGCATAGCAGCCATCTGAGCCATTATTCTTTCACGTTTTATGGCTACCATTTTTGTTCTCCACTCTTTCTTCATTTCAACATGTTTACTTGTAACATTTTCTGTACATGGTGCAGTAGCTGTTGTACTAACTTCCATTGGAGTATTGCCAGCAACTTCTTTGTATTTTGTTAGAGTCCAAGTTAATAAATCTTTATGAGCTTCTATACGTGGATTACTAGATAAATCTTCTAACAACTTATAAATTTTCCATTTTGCAGCTCTTGTTGTAAAAGCAAAAAAAGGATAATAATTAGATTCTTGTTCTTGAAGAGCATAGCCAATAAGATGTAAAATTTTATGTACTTGTGATTCTGAAAATCTATAGGGCCTACAATTAAGTGCTCTTTCTAATACAATTTGCATAATATGTAACATAACATCACATTGCAATAAATTAGTTACCAAACTAAATCCTTCTGTTAATTTAGGAAGCTTAGGAGGTGGACAACATTCTAATTCTCCTAAAGCTTTCCTTCGTTTTCGTTGTGTTTCCTCAGAATTACTTACTTCCTCTTTTGTATAATGGTAAAAGAATACATTATATTCTGAATATAGATGAGATTTTAATTCATAGACTCCTTTTGCTCCTGATGCTTGTGAAGGTTTCTTAAAATCTGCAATATCTTGTATTACCCTTTCCATTTCAGTTTCTAAATACATATCATCCGATAATGTTTTACTAAGCTCTGAATGAGAAAGAGGTTTGATACATAATTGTTGAATGATTTCTTTTTTCAAAATATCATCAGCAGTAACTTGTCCAACTCCAAGAACATATCTTTCTCCTATTATTGTTATAAGAAATCCTAGAAATTCTTCAACCAAAGTCTGTCTAGTACTGCCATCTTCATGACATTTTGGAACATTCACATCAAAATCTGGACTTGCCCATTGTAAAATATTAAATTTATTTAAAACATGGATCAGAAATTCATTACTTTCTATTAAAGATGCTCCAGCTTGCAGCAAGATGATGTCTCTGTCTAACATTTCTAAACGACATTTAACATTATGATAGAAATATAACTGATTCAACAAAGAATATCCATTTCTTTTCCACATACCACTATGGACTTGCGCAATCATTACTTGAGTTGCTAATACAGGTTCTATAATCTGTTCTAATGTTGGTTTTGTATGATTGATAAACTCTGCACATTGGAAATGTAAATCATACATTTCAAGATATGGAAAGAGACCTGCTAAAAGCCTTGAAAGTGGAAGATGTATAGATACTCGTTGAAATGATACATCATACTGAAGACATGTTGCACTATGATCTGCTAATTCTCTCACTTGGGGTGGACCAATCTCATGCCCTGGTTGTTCATATAGCTTTTTTAAAACTAGGCGAAAAGCTTTTATTAAAACAATTTGATCTGAACCACACCATTGTAAAAAGAGGCTAATGACTGGAGATAGCCTAATATGTAAGTTAAACGCAGATTCCCATTCAGGTTCATACTCCATATGTTGATTAACGTGTCTTACTACAGAATCCATACATTGCATACTACTAAGTAATGTGAGCAAACGTGAAAATGCTTGTAAAAAGCTTTTTCTTAATTCATCAGTCCAAACATCTGGTTTGGAGGTCAGCAAATACCGTAAATCTTGAAGCATATATAGAGCCCTTTTAAATGAAATATTAGGAGTATCTCTTTCAAATTCCAACTTTCCTGCTGCATTGCATCTTCGCGAACTTTCCGAAATAAATGCATTTAGTATGATGAACAACGCATTACGATGTGCAATCAGATAATGTGCTAGTGTTGGAACAGTGAATAATTGCACAGAAAATGAAACAATAGAAAACAAGAGATCGTGATCATCTCTAATGTAATCTTTCATAATAGAACCATAATTATTTGTAAAAACAATTGCTAAAGCTTTTTTGCTTTCATATTCCATAAGCATTCCTGACATCAATAATCTATGCCATGCTGTTCTTGCAGATTTCCATAGTTGCGAATCTTTCATAAGTATACCTTCTACGATAGAAATAACTGGTAATTTAGTATTAAGTGCAACATTACTGAAAAGCACTCTAAATCCCTCATAAGGATTTATAAATTGTTGTAGCCAATGTAAAAGTTTCATGGCGAATATTTGATGAGCAATTACATGAGCATGAACTACAAGTACATTTAATGGTCGATTGCTATGTCTTGCAGTGAATTTTTCAATATCATTCTCTAAATCCTTACACTGTTGGAATTCAGCACATTTTACAACAGCTCTACCATCTCTATCAACACTTGTTACAAATTCTAATGCATCTCTTTGTGAGCAATCCATAACACGTGTAAGTGTAGTAATTACTTGATCAAATGTATGAGTTTCATCATTATAAAGAACTGTACAATAATCATCTGTAGTTAATAGTAGTGATAAAGAATCATCATCCTCTGTATTATTAAAACGCAAATCAGGAGGTAATTCAAGTTTATGTTCCATAGATAACATTGTATGGCAATATCTCAGAACTGCCTCAAAAGTTATTACTGCTCTTTCTGCTATATCTCCAGGTAATTTGTTTCCATGAGATTCTTTAGCTTGGATACCAGCTAAATGTGTGTTACAAAATGGTTCTTTTTTCCAAGCTTCTGTATCTCCACAATCACAAAATCCTCCACCTGCAGATGTACCCATTCTATACTTATGATTACGATGAGCTGATTGTTTAAAACAATCTGCACACAAAACACATGACAAATCCACACCACATTCTCTACAACTGTATGTAGCCTCACCCATTTTGAACACTTTACCACATATCACATTATCCATTTGACTTAATTCTTTTAGTACAACCTTTGGATCTCCATTACAAATAAATTCTTCTAAAGTAAGAAAAAGTACTTTTTGTGCTGTATCTTCATCAAAAACCAAATCTAAACAATTACTATTTGGTTCTGGACTATATATTTTTGGAACCCAGACTCGCCAATGTTCTTTAAAATGGGTACATGATAATGTTCCTTCATTCATTTTTTCCATCCACACACTTACACATGGATGACTAAAATTCTGAAAATTGGACAAAGATGGTGGTGGCTCCATATTTTCAGGGCTTGAATATAGTTGTTTTTGTAAATTCTTGTTACTTATTGTTATAATTTAAATTGCCAAAACAATGTATACTGAAATGATAAATATTATGAATTAAAGTTTGTACACTTCTTAACATTAAAAATTCTAATACTTTATAATAAAAAATATTTGACTAATCTTATAAATTTAATATATTTGATTAACATATTTGTAATAAATTAACAAATTTAATATATTTGAACATAATTGATTAACATAAACTTTTATTTATCTTCTAATTAAAATATCTTTACAATATTAATTACTTAAAATACATTATAATTTTACATACTTTATTCTAGTATAAATTAAAATGATTTAATATGCAACTGTACAATTAAATATTTACATTATATTATAACTTATGTAATGTGATATAAATTTTATTTTAAAGACACAAACTTGATAAATATTGTTATACTAACCACTGTAATGCATAGAATCAACACAGTTCTTGATATAATATAGCAACGTAAAGTAGATTTATTGTTTAGTGCTTTTTACATTGTTATTTGACCCAACATATCAACATTAAATACATCAAAATCATTGGTAGAATTTTATTATTTGGAGTACCTTAATCCATATAAATTATGAGACTTGATACAATTTCATTACTTCACATAATGCTCTCATTTCTACTCAATCATAATCTGAAAGTGATGTTTCCAAAGATTTATAGCCAAAAAAATTTGCACATGATATAATGCTATTTTCTCGCTTTGATTACAAAATATTAATAATTGCGTCTAATCTTAGTAATTTGATAAAAGATATCTAAATAATTTGAGAAAATGAAAGCTCATTAGTTCCATAACAGATAAAAATTAAATGTTGTTACGAAATTTTATATACTACGCAGAACGAACAACATTTCAATTTCGAAAACTATTTTATACGTGTAGACAAACTTTTTGCTAAATCGAACTATTTTTAACTTTCTCTGAAGACGATACTCACTGTTATGACGACCAGGCCAAGGTTAATAAAAGATATTGGAAAGTTCTTTGTTATACAAAATCTGTACGTGATTTTTTAACTACGTATATGATAATACTTGACAGTAGTCGTCTCACAATAATCGCATGTTCGTGTCAAAGACGCGAATATTCGACAATATCAATCAATCAAGTTTTAACATTTCAAAACGAAATGATAAGCAATACTTTTACACAGTTACTTGAACAATGCACAAAATGGCTCATGAAGTTTGAAGACTGAAATCACACATATGTTAGATGTGCTTTCGTTTTAATATTTACTCTTGACTACAGCGCTCAAAAGAATAGTTACGAATATTAAATATTTTTGAATACAGTAAATTTCGAGAGATATTTAAAATTATTGAAGTGGATAAAAAATATAAAATATGAATGCATTTAAATTCTTTTAATAGCAATATATTAAAAAATTTCCTTATTTTTATCTATTATATAATAAAAATTCATGTTTATTTACAAACACCATTTAACAAATTTAAAAATCTAAAATACTCGTTACAAAAGTACTATGCATATACATAAGATATATTTTAATGTATTATTGTAAATATTTACCAAAATAATAGTACTTCAATGCAATATCATATGAAGTTCTACGTTAAAGGAATATTTGATAAATAATGTTTATAGTCATATATAAAAATTTATATAAATAATAATATTTAATGTAAATACAAAATTATTCCGATATAATTCGATATATTTTAATTACAAAATTTTTTAACTTAATTTTATATTCATTTATTAAAATTTAGTATATTCATTCATTTCACTATTAAGTAATATGATTTTAATTAGTTGGTGACAATGAATCATTATATGAATAGGGAATTTATTCGCATAAAATCAGTTGGTTCGTGTTCTTTTCAGTTCATAACGTTGTTGCAGAAACACGTGGTGAAAAGAGTGATTATTGAATTTAAAGCGAAATATTAACGCTATCACGTAAGTAAGGATATAAAATTAAACATTAAGTTATGTATTTACTATATGTAATGAAAGAAATCATTTAGTTCTAAATTTTTTATATTGATATGAATATATTTGTGTAGCATCAAATCGCATATTAATATTGCTTATTTTAATCATTTAAATATATATAAAGTAATAAATAGATAGTATTATCTTAATTAATTGTTTAAGTTTTTTTTTTATTGTACATAAATTGTATTCAAAATTATTAAAATTGAACTAAACTGCATATAGGATAAATATTGCGAGACAGTTCTGGAACATATACACTATGCCATGTAGCTTATTATATTTAAATATATGTATAGATAACATACAATATACATTATATCTTATACACTTTTTAAATTTAGGCTTGCTTTTATTAAAAAAATTGAAAACATTTATATATTATGCAATATATATTGCAAATGTAGTGATATATTAATTATATAAAAAGTTTCATTAAATACATTTTTATTTATTAATATAAAAATAGTACTTCTTTATTCATTTTTTGCACATTTAAATAAAACAATTAGCAGTATTTTTTAAGATTTATATAATAACACATCAAGGTTAATGGTATGAAATACATGTTATTCTTTTAATTGCACCATATTGTGAAAATGTTCTAGAATATGTTTTATAACATTTGTGTATGTACAGTTACATAGTATTTACATCTGACAATAATTCTGATCTTTTACAGAATGCCTCTTGCTAAAGATTTCCTTCATCCAAGTCCAGCTGAAGAAAAAAGGAAACACAAGCTAAAACGACTTGTACAAAAGCCAAACAGCTATTTTATGGATGTGAAATGTCCTGGATGTTATGCCATCAAAACTATTTTTTCACATGCACAGAAATCAGTAGAGTGCGATGGATGTCGTACAATATTATGCACATCTACAGGTGGCAAAGCTCGATTGACAGAAGGTTGTTCATTTAGGAGAAAGGTCCAGTGCTAATCTAACAGTGGTTAGGGCAACATAATGTATACATTTCTCTTTATATTCAATAAATAAACAGAATTATTATATAATTTTTTTTCATTTATTGTATCCTATCTTTATTTTTAATAAGAATTATATTTTAATTTAAAACAATTTTATACTTCAAAAATTACATTTATCATTTAAATTTTCTGGTGTGTACAACATATTCCTTCATTACTTAAAAGATTCAATAAATATACATATTGGTAATTAACACATTTTGTTTTTATTTTGAGTTACATCCACTTTGTGATAAATTTAACAGTATATTAAATTTGTTACGTTTATAATAAAATACAAACAAATATTTTCAATGAATTTCAGTTGGACAAGTTATATGCAGTAATACATATAAATAATTTATATAAGCAAACTGTTGGATTAAGGAGCAAAGTATGATATAACTTAATGTCAAATTTAATTCATTACTTAAGAATGTAGAATTGCATTATATGCTTGAAATATGCCTGGTGCCACTTCTACTGAACGAGATTTCAAAGATAACTGTAAGTAAAATAAATTAAGTACTACAGATATGAAAAGACACAAAGTTGAAGAAAATTCAGATCCAAATTTTAACCTACAGTGAGATCAGGATTTCCGGGTTGAATTTTTAATTCATTTAATACCCAAACAGTATGTGTTAATTTGAGAGATTGATACAACATGTCTTGTCCTTCAACATTTCTCTTAGCAATTGTGAATACATTATTTTGTTGCATTTTTTGTACAACTTGATCCGCGGTTAGCATTACTCCTTTTAACGTGTACTGTACCTAGAATATTTAAATATTTTCAATTATTTAACACATACTAGCGAATTTAATGACAATACATGAAAGTAGTGAATACCTCATTTTGAGCAGGTATATCTTTCCATGTACTAAGAAATACTCTTTTATCTAATTGTCCATCTTCTGCAAAATACACATTCATGGGAACAATACAAGCAAAATAAAACACATCAATATTATTTTTTATTGCAACTTGAAGATTATTTAAAGGTTCCATCCGTTGCACCGCACCGGCAGTAGATAAAATTATACTGGTATCTATACTAGCACCAGGATTTAAAGGACTTGGTACTTGCAATGGAGCAGCTGGTGTTAAACCAAAACTGTTTTTGTTTAATTGTATTGCAAAACCACCCATAGGTTGCATTGCTTTATTTGTAAATGTCATATCCATACTAATCAGACCATTTCTATTATAAAATAAATAATATTACACTTGCTATGATTTTTTATTTATTTTTTATTATTAATATATAATATATTTATAATTTATATTACTTACTTTCTTGAGAATGTTCCCCATATATCAAATCCTTTGCCCTTTTCAGCAGGTAACCAATTAACTTTAGGTGCAATATAAGAAGTAAGTCCTTGACTAAAACCAAATATATCACCAAGAAGACCAGTTGTCGTTTGAGATACAACAGGTGCATTATTTCCAGTATCAGTTCCACCCAAAATTCCATCTAAACCACTTCCTAATAAGTCTAAACCTAATCCTGATTGGGGAGCTGGTACTGGAGTAACCATTGTTGGACCACCTATAAAATTTAATATAATATGTAATTTATAAAATTAATTATAACATTGGCAAGTAATAAAAGTTTTGTTTACCAATATCCATACTGAGAAGATCGCCTATCAAAGAATCTTGAGCGGGAATAACTTGAGCATGAGGTTGTGTTGCGTGTTGGGTTGAATCCTCGCTCGAATTACTTCTAGCAGGTAATGACTTTCTAGCACCTGCTGCTCTACCTTCAACGAAAGCAGTAGGTGGTTTATGATAAACAGAAGCTAAACTTGAAATATGACATATTAATTCATCTAGTAATGTTGGTTCTAACAAGTCTGTTTCTTCCGAAATAAGAGGCTTCTCAGCAAGTACAACTTCTTTAGCAGCTGCTGGATCTGTACTAAGTAATCGCCAATAAATAAACCCTCGATCTCGTAGGTCAGGATTATCAGAATCTTGTGTCGCTAAACTAAGAACTTGTTGAACTAATTCTTGAGTATCTGTAGGTCTTTTAAGGAATAATTTAACAATTGCTGTGAGTAATTGCAATTGAACTTGTGTATTTTCATCATGAAATCCTTCTAAGAAACTTTCAAGCAATTCATCTGCATTATCAATTCGTTCTGCATACTCTCCAATAATCCATATCATAGATGCACGTGCCTCAGGTTCATCAAGTGTATCCAAATTCTCACAAAGAGTTGAAATAATACTTTCATATTTGTTAGGGTACTTTCGGAAAATGTCTTTTATTACAACAATTGCCTCTTGAACAACATAGTTGACCTAATCCAACAAAAATGTGTATAAGATTATTCACGATAAACATCTTTTTATGCAAAGTTTCAAAATACCTTTGTTTGTATGAGATCTAAAAGAGTTGAAACACATCGTTCAGCGGAGGGCTCAACTTTAATGGCACAACGACCAATAGCTCTTACAGCTTTTCGTACAAAATCTACATCGACTTCCGTAGCGTATTCTTTCAGTTCAGATAAAACTTGAGCTATATTAGCTTGGGACGCTAAACGAATCATGATGTCTAACTTTTCAAGTTTAACATAAATAGGATCATTATATTTGACAAAGAAAACTTTCATCTCGTGCTTTAAAATATCTGGGCGTTTTTGAACAATAAGATTGATATTTCGTAATGCTACATACTGCACCTCAGGCTCAGAACTAAGTAAAGTTACAAGGGGTGGAGCTAATTTTTTCGTTAATGTGCCAACAAAATCAGATTCTGATTGTAACATTTCTATTAATTTCATTAGTACCTATGTAAAAAAAAAACCTACTTTAAAAACTAAAGTAATTATAACTCCAACTACAAATATTAATTTCCTTATTAGATATACACCTTAACAGCAGATAAAACAACTGCTGCATTAGCATGAGCTAACCGTGGAGTAATGCGTTCACAAATGCTTTGAGCTTCACGATCATCTTTTGGTGAGTAATTTGCAAGGGAGTCTAAAATAAAAACTTGACCCCATTCTGTACATTCATTAAGTGCTGTTAATAATTTATTAATGGTCTGCGCATTCATTTCAACTAAAGGTTGTCCACTAAGACTAGCTTCGTTAATTTCAGACAAAGCAGCAACTGCATTTGCAACAACCTAATATGAAAGTTCAATGGAATAATAAATAATTAATAATTTTTATATTAATCTTAACAAATAAGTTTGTTATTTACCATGGGGTTACTATCTGACAGAAGATCTTTTAATTGATCCAAAAACCCTTGATCTTCAACTAAAGCTGCATTAATATCATAAAGTTTGGCCACACAAACAGCTGCAGTTTTACGAACATATGGATCCTCATCCTTCAGGCATTTTCGCAGTGGCTCACAAAGGTACTCAGTAATTTTGTCCACACGTATGCAACCCATTGTGCGAACTGCTAATGCTCGAATCAGCGGATTTGGGTCCTCGCAATCCTGCGCAAAAATCGGGCAAGCCAGGGATTCAAGTCTAGTCACAGCAGTGGCTATCTATCTCAACCCATGAATTTTAACGAAGTAGAAAGTGGTATGGTACCTTTGTCATCGGAGATGTCGCTAGCTCCTTTTGCGTGTCAGAACGAAAAAGGTCAAATTGGTCACCGTCACCATTTTGATTAATTGTTAAAATATTATACTTATCAACCATTTAATGTAATGATGCAGAACTGATCATTTTTTAAAGAGCACGAGATATCCATCTTAAGATTTTTCTATTTAAAGTTTTTTATTTTTGATAGTAATTTACAGATTAAAATTAAATTATAAGTTTCACATTAAATTGAATGTCATGCACATAAGAATATGTTACATGATATTTATTCAAACATTTAAAAATGTATACATCAAAGTGTTCATGATAATTGCATTATGAAATATTATTTTTAACACTCATTACATTTATCAATTAAGACTAAAGTTTTGTAAAGAACAAAACACTTTACGTGCAAATAGTGTAAGTATATGCACTGCATACAAGCAGCAATTTATAATGCAGTCATACATATAAAATGGACATTTAAGGAATTGGTTTATTCATGCTGTTTACACATTAGACATTATATCTAAGAAATAAATTTTTGATTCTACCACTGAGACTATTTTACATTTAATTCCCTTTTAAGGCCAATTACATCTTTAATACAAGTATATAGCTGTGTTCTTATACAACTTTCTATAAGCTGTTTAAATATAAATAACATTTTTGTAGCTTGTTGAAAATGTTCCATGCTCAATTTTGGAAACCAGCATAAAGTATACTAGTGCATTAATATTAAAAAACTAACACATATATTGTGAGCCCCTTCAGTGAATTTTGTAATAATTCTGCTAAATATTACAACTGTCAATTTCATTCCTCTTTTTAATGCTCAACTGAAGAAAAATACTGGAATTTGGTGGTAATCAAAAATTATTAAACTAAAATCAATAAAAATTATTAATATATTTTTATATTATTTAAAATATTTAAGATAAATGCCATATTTTATTCAGCCAAATTCCAGTCTCGTGCCCTTTGAAAAATAAGCAATTCATTAAGAGAAAAAATAATACATTCCGTCCCATAACGCAGACAGCTCTGTGCAAACTGATATAATTTGCAAAGCACGGTCTGTACATGATGTGAGGCAGGCTGTAAAATTAATGTTAAATTTACTTAAGAAAAATTTGTAAAATTTGAGGTATTATGACAAATATTTTTCCAGCTTGCCTCTTTGCAGACAGAGACTCTCAACATCATCCAAGTGTCATTAAAATATATAGAGGGTAAAAGTGCATTAATAAAACATAATAAGTTACTTATTAAGTTTTTAAGCTACATTACCTTAACAAATGTGTTGACAGCCATGATGGCCATATCTGGTTGACTTTTGGCATAATTCATCAGGTACAAATACACCAGTTTTTTAAGTTCTAAATTATCTGTCTGCATGCAGTTGACCACATCAGGGAAGAGTGCTGATACATCTTTACCCACAGTCATGGAAGCAATTACCTAAACATAATTAATATTATATTTAAATAAGAAACAAATAAGCATTAAAAAAATAGCTGTAACAAAAATCAAAATAACCATCAATGATGATTGTGAAAAATTATTACGAATAATAATATTAGCAATTAATTAAAATTAGAAACACAACTTATGCTTTGTTTAATAAAAACAAATATTTCAAATAATAATTTATTATTAGATACCCCAAAAATGATGAATAATACACGATGCATATATTACAATAGTATTAAAATTTATAAAGTTTAAGATATTTTTATCATATGCTTTTACTCATCCTTTTCTTTGTGCAGCATGAAACAGATTTATTAATTTGATGTTTATAAATTATAAATTTTTTAAGCATAAATAATGATTTTGCTAATTCACATTTGAAGCAAATCAATTTGATATTAACATGCATCTTTATAACTTACCTTTTATACAATTATATCGCCTTTTAAAGTCACAGCTTTGCTGCATTAAACTACTTAACTATTCATGAAATATAAGTACTTAATTGAAAGACTAACAAATTATTACATGGTTATTGTATGACTTATTCATAAATACATTTTATACAAAAATTATAAATAGTTAGGGATATTCTATCAGTAAATTGACTTACTTTTTTCACAGCTTCTTTCTTTTTCTCTTTCTTGTCATTATTCAATTCTGATTTAAGTTCAAATATTTCTCCTTTCTTGGTAGTGGTGAAATATTTTGAATCTGTCATTTTGAATTTTTAAACAAATTTTCAAAATTATTTCGTTGATATTTAAATCTACAATCTAAAAAAAGAAACAGCGATATATTACGAATGTAATAGTAGTATAGAAAAATTAAATAAGGATTCAATATAGCAAACCATAGCTTGGATCAATGTTCAAGATATATAGTATCATTCTAGTAATATTAACCATGATGTAAAATATTTAATTGTCAATTTAAAAAAATAAATAATAATATTCTTTATAATTTTATGAATTAGAAAATATTAAAGATACTCAAAATATAATACCATAACGGCTTATAGTTAAAAATAACTATAAGCATATTTTTTGTACTTTCATTTGTTTGAAATTATATTTTAAACACTGATATTTATGATAACTGAAAAATTAATGAAAGATATTATCAAAAAAATCATTCCTTTTAAATTACCTTAATTGTTTTAAAGAATCAAATACATGTGAGAAATAAACTGCCAGAACATTGACAAATCTTCGAGTAAAACGCCCTTTAACCATGGACTAAAAACACTAACAATTGATCCATCTCTAGTACCCTATTTACGCGTGATATCTCAGAACATTTATTGAGTAATCTGCAGTTAGGATAAAATTTCACCCTAGAACTTTCAACCATAGACTACATAATATCGTATGCAGAAACTTTATTTTTCAATAGATTGCTAGATTGTTCAAAAATTAAATATCGATTTTTATTTTTGAGAATTGTACAAATTTAAAGTAAGAAATATCCATTAGAATAAAGATACTTTAATAAATACAAAACAATTTTCATTCTAACTCTTATTATACAAAATTTAAAATATTACTTTTAAATATATGTTTAAATTTTATATAATATTAGTAAAGTATTAAACGAATATGAGCACATAATTTGTTTAAAATATTTGTTACGTATTTTGTGTGTTATTGAACTTAAACATTTCATTTACTTGGTATAATACGTATGTATAATGTGCGTAACAAGCATAAAGAGTATTATACGAAAAGTATTAGAGATGTGAGAATAGTATTAACTAAAAAATTATCGTTATAACGTTTCATAATTTTAGTTTTACTCATAAGTATAATAGAATTAATAAACAAATACTACATAACATTTCTAGAAGAAAACATGCCCCTGTTCTTATTTGCGTCTTATTTTTTCTTTGATTATAATTATAATTATACTAACAATTATATGATAATAATTCGCAGAAAAGGTAGTTTATACTCTATTTGTAATTATTTAAAATTAAAAACATAATAAACAAAATAAAAAAATTTAACGTTTAATTGAGTATGTTATGATCTTTTATCTTCCAGCTGAAATAATTAAAACTTAATGTAATTATATATAACTACAATATACATTTATATAATAATACTATGTCAAGGATATGAGTACATCACATTCAATTTATGATACTGTTCAGCCCAACAACTGTTGGTTTTAAAATGTTTAAAGCAAAATTACTGCAGTCTATAATACGTACTATTAGTCTATACAATAGTATGTAACAAAATTAAAATCTGTTTTAATCTATCAGTCACTTGCACAATTTAAATTAGAGTTATAATCAAGCTACTGTAAGCACGCTTGGACTTTTTCGATCCATTCTTGCGCAGTCGTTGCATCGCCAGCACAAAAGTTATATGTTCGTCTGTTCGTACGAAGCTGTAAATATAAATTTATATGGTACAAATTTCATTTTTGAAGAGAAAATGAAATAAAAAAAAAAGTAAAAGTAATATTGTATTTACATCAAAAAATGATTTATCATCTGTTTTCTTTGGTGGCCCTGGCATTGGTTGAGCTGGAGTTACGGACACTACTTCAGCTAAATCTGTAAAATTGTAAATATTTATAGGTTTATCCTATAATATTCAAATTTCAAATTATTTCTTATTTGTACCTATATATCCTTTACAATGAGAATCTTCCATGGCATCATAATACCTTAGTTGATGTTTTATAGAATCCAACACGAACCACCTCTGTTTCCAACCTTTTAGTAAAGCACCTCTTTTATAAAGGTAGCCTTCATGGGTCCTATTTTCAGCAACATTACTAGAGAATTGTTCGTAATATTGTTGTGATGAGGTTTGTATTGTGGTAACACCTAGATGTGAATTGTTAATGTTGACACATAAAATAATTCACAATGTCAGTGAGACAAATAATTAGAGTTCACAAAATGTTCATAGAATTATATAACATTCATACTTGAATTTACGCTCCCATTATCACCACCGCTTCGCGTGAGTGTATGTGTTTGTAAATTGTCAGTCACTGTCTTATACTTTGTACAATTTTTTGGTACTGCATCGGCACATTTATCATGACACACATGTCCGCAATCCACACACCGTAAACCAGCTTTTACTGGTCCCCATAATACACCAGAACATGCATCACAATGGGTTGGTGTTGCTGAATCTAATCTTTCGAATCTTTAAAAATACAAATTTATTTAGCATTGGTTTATTCAATTTAAGCCAGGTACCTGCTTATTTGATTTATGACAGTAAAAGTTACCTATGAGGATGTGCATAAACAGATCCATCATTTCCTGAAGTACTTCCACTTGCAAGTTTACCTCTTAAAAGTAATTCTAATGTAGAACGTTTATGAATCAATCGACCATGATATCTGACTAATGCAGTGCTAAACGATGCATGTCTCTATATAAAAAATAGAAATATGTTGTATGAAATATTACATCATTTTTAAATAGTTAAAATGTTCATTACTAACAGCAAGTGAATCTGTATTTGGCAATTCAAGTTTGTCCCAAAGAACTTTCCATTTTTGTGGTAAATGGCCCAATTCAGTTTCTAATTTATGAATCTCTTCTAAGAGATGAGAAAATTGATCGGGAACCATTGAACATACACCATCATACCTGCAATATAAGTATTAATATTAGTATTAATAATGTAACAAAAAAAAAAAAGAGAAAAAAACGGATTAAATGTAGTAAATTTAATCTTACCCTTGTGTAACTACTTTGCGGTTACTTTTAACAACACCATCAGCAGCTTCTGCTTCTTCCTCCTGTTGAGAATCTTGCTGTAACACTTCTAAATCATAGGCAGGCCCATGAGCCAGCTCTTCTTCTAAATAATATTGCCAAATATCGAGATTTGGCAGATGTGAAACGGGCCTTAATATTATATTTTCGGTATTAGGAGTATACATGAAATTATAAAACAAGGGACATCGTGCATGTTGTTTTTCTATGTAATCGAATATACTTTGACCAAGATTACATCCTGTATTTGTTCCTGCTAATCTACCGCCAGGATAAATTGTTTCATCATCGCTACCCGTATCTACACCTTTATGGTGACTTGTCAATGATCCTCTTTTGTCTTCAACAGCAGTAATGCCACATTCCACTCTATCAAATTCGCAGTCCAATAAAAATGTACGATAACGGCAAGAAACCGAATGATATGCTAAGAATTTTAGATAATATTCGTTGAATTCAAACGCTAATGGAAACTGCTTTTGAATTTGATGTACTATATCAAGAAACTGAAGAAAAGTGGGAGTAAAATTTGTAGTTTGCGAATTTGCTGCAAGATTACTTCTGTGTCCAAATCTATGTCCAAATCCAAGCCATTCTTTTTCGATCAATGTTCGAAAACCTTCAATGGTTCTATAATGTGGATCAAGACATACTTGTGCAACAGAACACACTGTTGCTGCAGTATCCCAACCTTCTTCTAAACAAACAGCTACTGATGAGCCTTGAACATCCATTAAGTCAATTACAGCACCAGCTAATTGCATTAAATTTTGAAGTTGTTGTAACCATTCTGAACTTTCAATTAATCTAAAATTATAGATTACGCCAATTATTTATAAAAAAATTATCATATCTACTAAAATTATCTTTGCATTAAATAAATTGCACATACTTATAAAAACTTTGGTCAGGCTCTACATTTGGAGAGCTAGGAACACAGGCTCGCATAAGTTTCTTAAATGCAGCTTTGGTATGTCTTACATCATAATATTCCACTGGAATGAAATCTGTTTTTGGCGCTGATTCCGCTTTAACACCCTTTTGCATCCAAACAATTTTTATGAAACTATATTACGTAAATCTAGAATAATACTAAATTAAAATTATCTTACCTTCATATGTGCTTTTTCACCAAGAATATATAATGCAGCGCGTTGAAAAGTATGAACGCATTCGGTACCGCTGTCTGAATCCGCGGAGTGTCTAACAGTTCCACGTTGATGAACTGAAGTTAAAGAGACTTGGGAATTATGTCTTTTATCTTTTAGTGAACCCCAACGACCAAAATTTTTAGGTCCCTTACCTCCGGATGAACTACCAAAACACAATTTATTACTTAATTCAACCTTCATTAATCTAAAATTTTAAACAGTAGAACAAAAATTATATACCTTAATGTTCCAATAGCTTTATTAAATGGATTTCTTCGTGATTGTTCAGGTGTAGCGTTACGATCTTCAGCAGCTAATAATAAAGAATCAATACTAAGAGAGCTGTCAGACATTCCCCATGCAGAACCTTGCCTTAGTGCAGATAATGGTGTAGCAGCTACAAGAGCCATAATATATTTTTCTTGTTCCAAAGATGATGTGGTTTCAGAAGATGTAGCTATGAATATAAAACAAATATTTAAGGACAATATATAAAAAGTTAAATATTTCTAAACGATTTATTAACAAATACCTTTTAAGTTAGCAGCAGATGCTGGGTGAGCCTTCAGCATGCCCATGACACCTTTCCCATGATAACCAGCGCCTCTAATCAAAAGCGCTTTTGTTCTCGGATGCCTCCATGTAATAACAGGTATTCTATTATGTCTATAAAGTCGACAAAATCTGCGGATACTTTCATCTGACACTGATGAGGGAACTATAAGAAGAGCGGGATAACTTCTGCAAATCATATAGGCACAATTCACAGAAGACAATCGAAATGGTTCGTTCCTACGATTGTTGTGTAGTCCATTTGAGTATAATCCTAAGCGATACCAATCTCTAACGTAACTACGTTCTGATAACCGTTCTAAGGTTTTGGCATCAGTTGGTGGTTGAGTCACAATACCAGGAATTTCAAAATCATCTACTATAAAAATTTAAGTATGAGTAGAATTTAAAACATTGAAATATTGGAAGTATTAAATATCTAATTTACCACTAAGATCATCATCATGACTTAAATCATTATTATCTGTTACTGGTAAACTCATTCTTCCAGGTGATGTCATGTATTTATTATTAGTGATCATATTCATATTTGGCAAGACATATTTTTGTCTTTTAGATGACTGCTTTGGTTTAAAACCAGCTTTACGTGCAGTCTTTAAAAGCGTTTTCTTAGCAAACCCTCTAAAAAAAATTGTATTGCATTTAATGAATTATAATGATGGAAGAATGTAAATAAAAAATTACTTACTTAAGGGTAGCATTCTTTTCTTTTCCTTTATGATGTGCAGTCTGAGTAACTAATACTTGACCATTGAAAGCAAAATGATGAAATATATGTGGTGGATAACGAGCCTTATGAACTAATTTTCGTAAAGTTTCAATATTTTCGGGTGTTACTTCTTCATCGAAGGCTAATTTTATTAATTGAAAAGTACACGATCGTAATTGAAGACCTTCTTGTAAGCACTGATCTAGATGTGCTAAATGTTGTACAGCAACTCGTTTTTCTTTAGTTAAAGATGTAACGGGGAAAGCACGAACTACTAATTGTTCACAGGCAAATGGATCACAAGGTATTCCTTTAAATACAATTCTATAGTTAGTAAGAAAAATTGCTCCTTCTGCTGGCAAGAGTGGTGGTATCTTTGGTAACCCTGCAGAACTTTCTTCTCTTCCATCTGGTAAAAGATAAACACGCAAACCATCCATAATAACTTCTTCACCAGGTAACATATTAGGTGTCAAAATTTTAGGCTTCTGTATTGGAGGTAATCTTTTACTTTCTCTATGTATAGCTTCTAGAGTTTCAATATGCATATGAACAACACCAGGAACCATCTGATGTAAGCATCTAACATGTTCAGCACTTACACCCCCTTCAGTACAAACACGATCTACAAATCGTGAAACCATTCGAATAACAGCACTACCTGTCTCTCCAGGATCAGTTTCTTCAAATCCAGATTCTGCATCACCACTATCGCTTGCTACACTATTTGTAATACTATTACTCGCTCTTTCATCGTCATAAATATTATCTTGGCGATGAGTTTTTGCTCCTATATCTAATGGAACCAATAAATAAACCATTCTATTTGCATAATGAATTGCTTGACTATACATGGTACTTTCTTCACTTGCAATAAGTTCCTTTTGTTTTTCTGGATCTATAGTTGGCCAAATTCTCATTTGTTCAGCAGCTATTTCAAGAGCTGATGGTTCCTGAATTTGATAAATTGAATATCGATCGCGAAATGGAAATTCTTTGCCATCGCGTGGACTAATAGGACTTAAGATACCATCATTTGTAAGTCGTGGTGGAGAATTTTCACCAGGGAGATATAAACGCTTAATATCTTTTTGAACATCCAAATAAAATGCATCTTCCCAAAATTGTTGATTTTGCCATACAGGATGTTCTTGAATACAAGTATAAGCAAATTGAATTACTCCCGTGCAAAGTTTTCTACAAAATGCTGTAGCAAGAGGGAGAAGTGCAGCAGCAACTCCATGCTCATCCATTGATGAATCGTCTTGCAATGCACAATTCATTAACCGAACTACAAGATCAAATTGTTGATGTTCTAACATGGCTTTGTTTCCGACAACATGCTGTGATAATTCCATGCAAAGCGCTAAACGAGCAGCTTTGCTTTTCAAAGCTCTTAAAACAGCTGGAAACGTTTTACGGGCATCAGATATTTTATTCTCAAATATACAGTTTATACAGTTACGCAGAACTTCCAGTCTACGTGCAGAATTGCTAACCAAATGTCTTGTATCATGAACAAATGAAATATGTGGACCCATAGGTACAATTCGAGGCTGTGATGGTCTTAATGATGACAATCTATAGATAAAATATCAAATATTAAATATATAAACCATCATTATCAGAATACATGTATAAAGATGACATATTTCTAATACAAACCTAACTTTAAGATTATTTTTGGCAAGACCCTCATCTATAATTGCTTGAACTTGTTCTGGATTAATGCGTGGTAATAGTGGTTGATGTATTCTAGCAAATGCTCCCTCAGGTGGTTTTAAAATTTTTTGTACATATGGTTGAGGATTTGGATTTTCATTTGTGTATAATTGTTGTGCTAATTCTTGTATATGGGTTAAAATAAGCCCTAATATTAAAATATTTATTTTAGATATTTCACTATTGTTAATTGCATATTCCATTTTTATTGCTTACTATGATCTTGTGCTTCTTGTTTCAACTGGTCACTTAAATTATTATACAGTTCATCCCATACATCACAAGGCCTCCATGGTGGTCCCCTTTCTGCAATAAAGGAAGTAAAAAACATGCAATCCAAAACTCTAGTTGTAAAATCGCAATCTGTCAGGCCACGTTCTCCTAAAAAAGCTGCCTAGAAATAAAAAGAAAAATTTATATAATTTTCTTGTTTCTTTATTCACTGTTTGGAATAAAAAGATAAGTATAAAGTCAATAATAATTTACCTTATGAAATGTTATGACTGGCTTTGGATGAATCCTTATTAATGTTAAACAGCTTCTATATCCTTGCAATAGTTGAGCAAAAGTTCTCATAAAAACTGCTCGTAATTCTTTATCTAACATAGGAGAATGAGGCGCCCTTGTTGCCAATGGGGGAAAAGCATAATCTGCACAGGCCAATTCTGGTTGTAATACTAAAGATAATGCATCTTGTGTTTGTGAAAGAAGTGGTTCTGGAAGTAATGGGAGTGAAACCCCATCTGGAACCATAATAGAACCTCCATCCAAATCAGCAACTATTACATCCATCTATAAAAAAATATAATACAAAATTTCATAAAAAATCATTGTGGTAAATAAAGAATAATATTGTGCACTTTTATTGAGCATCTTACAAGTTCTGCAACTTCATGTTTTAGTGAACTATGTACACCCATAATAAATGGAGTAGGTGTACTGAGTACTTCAACTAAAGCTGCTGGTAGAAGAGGAATGTAAACATGCGTATATCTAAATGGATACATTAATGCAGTAAGAGCACGACATCCTTCTGTTAATCGTGAATAACTTGCAGAATGAAAAAGTATTTTATGTTCTGTCATAACAGCACAGAATAATACTAGTACATTACGAATTCCTGTAAAATATAAATACTTTAATAAAAAGATATAAATAAAAATATATTCATAATAATGATTATTTTACTCTTTACCTAGTTGCTGAAATAAAAGATTTACACTACTGTGTGTTATTGGAAGAGAAGGACTAATTGGAGGCTGAAGTGCTTGACGATCCCCTGCACCAATGCTAAATCTTACTTGTGGTCCACCAGCAGGTGGTACTTGTATACAACCTAATATGTTTCCTACAAGAGTCTCTAATGGTATTCCAAGATTTTCTACATACACTGTGTATATAATGCCAAGACAATTCTAAAGTAATAATATAGAAATGTTACTCTTAAATATAGAAATACATATAATTTTAATTACATAAGAAATCTAAAAATGCATTTAATTTTAATATAAACAAAATGTTACATACTCTGAAGGTTTCAATGTAATCAAGTCTGGAAACCAGCACCAGACATTTAGGTGCATACATAATGCTATGATGTGCAATTGTGGGTATTGTTCTAACCAAAGAACGACTATCACCATCTACAGGATCTTCTTCTTCGTCTACAGGCTTACTTGGCAAAATAGACACTGTTTCATTAAAACACATGCAAGCACAATAATGACGATTTGCATCAATATCAGTTAAAATAGATACAAAAAATCTTGGTTCCTGTCTTTCTGTAGATAAGGCCCATCCTTGTGGTTGACAAAACTATAAAATAAAATTAATAATAAAAGATTAGTTATACAATGAGAACATAATAAAAGTAAATCTTACCCATTCTATCCCTTCTATGAATGGTGTATCTGACCAATCCTTTTCTGGAAACCTTTGTAAAATGATTCCATTACTTATACCCCCTCCTGCAAAAATAAATAATATTGTACATTACATTAAATATTTTTTGTTACTATACTTGTAATAAACATATTTTTGCAATAAAAGTGTTTTAATTTTTTAAACAAAATTAAATAACAAATAATGTGTACCAATGATTATTAACATACAAATAGAATAATCTCTAATGTAAACATCTATATAGGAATTATACATTTATATTATTAAATATGATATGTATATATTTTGTTATAAAAGTGATACATTATTGTCATACGTTAAATGTTTATCAATTATATATATTAAAAACAATGATATGTTTTTGAAACATAACTTTTGTTAAAAATTAAAAACTTACTCTCTTTTTCGTGGTCGTAGCCGACCACAACAAAGTAGTCGGCTAACCGAGACATTTCGGTATACTCGTGGGGGTTCGTGGGGGTGATAGCGCCCAACATCCCACGTAGATTTTAATACACGTGATTTCATGGACCGTATCCTACCAAGCAACAATCAACTACCTTGTGTCAACGTTACACATAAATACGCATCAATATGCAAATTAATTGAAAAATATTAAGAACATTTTTGAATTTATATTTTCTCATTCAAACAACACAAATTTTAGAGTAAAGCACCAAGAACGTGATGTCGTCGTAAGTATATTTAAAAAATTTTGTTCGAATAACAAATTTCAGACGATGGTTGAAATTTTACAGACATCACACGCACCGTTGAAAAGAGATAATTCACATTCGTCACGTTTAGAAAATGAATTCATTCGTCATCACAAGAACATATAATATTCTATTTATTTTATAAAATACAATATGATGCCACACCCCGAAGCGTTAATCCATAACCTTCCAAACTCAAGCGCCACATTGGGTGTTTGTTCAACCGCGTATGAACCAAAACGCGCCACAGATATACAAACGAAGAGACGAATGCGCTGTAATTCGCATTTAATTTTACTTTTTTTGTCTTCTGCTTGGGTCACTGAAAATACTTTGAATCTGAAAACATACGCATTATTAGAGACGTTACCTCAATGTAACTTTATAGCGCGTTCATAGTAAAATTATTGCATAATAGGTGCATGTATAATACACATCCTATGTGTATTTTTCAATTTATTAAACAATTTTATTTTTTAAACACAAAAATATAAATTATCTATGATATAAAATTCAATATTTTCGAATCTATTCAAAAATTTGTATCTAAATTCTTTCATATTTTATAAATCGCTTTTATATTAAACTTATTGTAACTATGTAAAAAGTGTAATATTGTAGATATTTTAAAAAATTAATCAAATGTAATATTACATATCATGATTATAAAATATTGTTTATTGGTTATAAATAATTTTATTGAGTGAGTTTTATATGGTATACTATGTATACTTGCATTGTATATGTTTAAATGATACCTAACCTCCTAGGTATTATCACGTAAAAACATTCGTTTGATATGAGTGTCTTGTAGTTTATTTAAAATAATTAAATACTTTCAAACATTAAACAAATTATTATTATACAGTTAGAAACATAAACTTTTTAATTTTATATAAATTTAATAAGTTTTAGCAAAACGGATATTTCTGAAATACTTTCTAAAATGTTTATGGATGCAATGATGGGATTTACTATTGCGACAATAATAGGTTATTGTTTATATAAAATAATGGTAATGAAAAATACAAAAAAATTGCAACCTTCTAATGATTGTAAGGATTGTAATAATATAGTAAGCAAATTAAAATTCAGACATCTATATTTCTTTATGTTTAATAAATAAAATAAACAACTATAATGTATTTTATTTGCAGCAAATGCATTCAGGTTATTATAAGCTTGTATTAGTTATTAGAACTGATTTAAAAATGGGAAAGGGAAAAGTTGCAGCACAGTGTGCTCATGCTGCTGTTGCAGCCTATAAGGCAGCTATAAAAAGATGTCCTATACCTTTGACTGGTTGGGAATATAATGGACAGCCCAAAATTACTCTTAAGGTATGAATATATATCTGATATACATATATTTCTTATGTATTTAATATTGTTTTATTATCAAATACCTATTATTAAACAAAAAAATATTTAGGTGGATAGTGAAGATGCTTTGAAAGAAATAGCGGCACAGGCTAGAGATATGGGTCTTTTAACTAATATAATAGAGGATGCTGGACATACACAAATAAAAGCAGGAAGCAAAACGGTATGTGCAATTGGTCCAGGCCCAGCTGAGCTAATAGATCAAGTAACTGGACATTTAAAGTTGTTTTAATAATGTGTTCAATAAAGGATCACTCAGTATGACAATGAACCCTAATTTTTTATCTAATTTTTATATTTATTTTTTATTTTTTTGGACCTAATTTTTCATAATTCACTGATTTTATTATTAGATTTTTATTGATATGCTGAAAAATAATTAAATACAGCAATTCATATTTTGTTGATGTAAGTATAAATACATAAACATAATTTATATAGAAAGATGCATTCCATTAAAAAAATGCACCAATATATTTATCAAAAATGAAAAAGTACAATCTTTTAAAATAGTTTATACAAACTTAAATATGTTATCAATTTGAAACATTATTTCAGTCACTGGTCACATTTCGCGTATAATAATTTCATTTCATAAATTTAAATATAACATTATACATGAACAATGTTCATTTTTATACTAATATAATACATTTTTGTATTAAAAAACACGGGTATAGCATTAGGTGCCGTTGTAAACAATATATTGTTAACAGAATTTTATTAATTATCAGTGTAAGCAAATGGCATATACTGATATTTATATTGGAAAATATATTATGTAAAGATTAAAAATGTATAAGTAGAGTCATATTGCAACAAAGTAAGCATTTTAATTACCATAAATTATTCCCAGCTCTGATCACAAAACATTGAAAATTTGTTTCCAATAAAATATCTTCCATTCTTTGGTACCTCGTGCTATTATTCTCATTTAAAATATCATTTAATGCTTATAAATAGTATATAAATAATCTACACTGGTGGAGGAGGTGCTTTTCGATGTATTTTGTTAGAGCTGGTAGCACTACATTGTGACTCAGCAATAGATCTACCATCAGCCTCATCCCTTCGACATAATTCTGATTCGTTTTGCATCCAATTTTGAGTTTGATTATGGTTTGTTCGTGTTGATTGATTTTCTTCATTTCCAGAAACAGAACCTACTTCTTCTAATAATTTTGATAAAGATGGTGCCAATCCTAATCCTAAATTTCGCTCATGATATACATCTGAAATTGTAGGTGTTAATTCACGTGTTAAACTTGTAAGAGACGTGGCTACATTTCTTAAATTTTGATTATGTGTTTCTGCAGGTTGTGTAGAATCAGTCTGAGAACAAATATCTTCAGTTGTTGTAGGATGACGAGGTTTTCTAGGAGAATTAGATCCGATTTCTGTTCTAACACTTAATCTTTCTAGTACTGTTGCTGGTAATGGTGGTAATGGTTGTCGCCTTAAAACTGTTGCATGACCATTATCCCAATCTGTTACTGAACTACTTGAACTAGACCCTGGTCTTATGCTTTGATCAGGATAAAGATTTCTAATACGTGTTTGATGATTTAAATTGAGTGCTACAGGAGGACTAGGAGTAAAAGCAACATCCGATTCACCTATAAAACATGTACATGTATGATTTTAATTGCATGTTTAATACTTATTTAAATTTTAATCTGATTTATTTATACCTCCACCATTCTGACATGGTTGTCGTGTTGTAGGAATTGGAACATTTGGTGGTTCCATTGTTTTCCCATCCGGTTCACCTCGATGTCGAACATAATTCGCAAACGCACCTCCTAATCTAGGTCGTTCTATGACATTTTTGTCAATATGTGCAACAGAAGCTAGGCTTTCCATTGAACTACTAGAGTCTAAAGTCAAACTTTTAGGTGCTTCTTGTGTATCTAATAATATAATTATAATTTAGACAATATAATTTATTTGTATTTTTATTGATGATCAGTACAAACTTACCAAATAAGGCTAGAAGAGCTTGAAGAGCAAATTGAACAGCTCTTCGTGATGCTTGCTTTCCTGTTCTTAATGTAACTTCGGATTGACCAACCTCCATGAGATCAAAGCCTAAACTTGCAAACAGTTCATGAGATCCTGATGCTCTCCATACTGGTACTGGTAATGTAACTTCTTGACCTTCTGTTGCACATGTAGCTCTTCTCATTGCAGCAATAACATCCTCTGCAGCTTCTGGTGCCTATAATAGGTATAAAAAATGTCTTTAACATAATAAGTTATTAATACTCGCATCAAAAAATGTAGATTTATTTACTACCTGCAACAATCTAGCAAGTGCATGTAATGATGATGGCCCCAAACCCAACAATGCTTGCAAGCTTGCACTACATCTTGTTAATCTTTCTTCTGGATCACTTTGTGGAAAAAATACAGAAGATGGTATCCCATTTCCAGCAGGTTCAAATCTAAAACCTACTGACATTAAAAGTTCTCGCCAACCAGTAGCTGCTCCCACTTTATTTTCAATACTACGTTGAGTTGTGTACATAGCATTCTTTTGTCCACGATGTATTCGTTGTAACGATTTTTCTACTAAATGAAGTGTCACACGTAGTGCATCACGGCTTTGTTCGGGACCACCACGTAGTAACTCAGCAAGTGCTTGTCCCATTAAGGCAACCTAAATTTATATTTTATGAACAACTATGAATACGTAAATTCTTAAATTTAATCAACTTTTTAAAATTTATACTTTGTTTGATAATCTTGCATCTCCACCAATAAGTAACCAACCAGCCCAATTTGCAGGATGTGCGAAATGTCTTGTATGCTGAACTGTTTGCATAGCTTCTGCCAATGCTCTTGATGCCCTAGCACCTTGTAACATAGCACTATAAAATGCTCGTAATAATATACTACCAGCTGTAGGTGGAACTGCCCACATTCCTATAAGTACACATTGTGCTCCCGCATTTAATAAAGCTTTGGCTAAATTTTGTACACCATCTGACGTAGCAGTTGTATTTTCTGTACTATTCCAACCATGGCCATTAGATATTACAACTAAACGAGCAGCTATTCTCAGTTTTGTAATATCTGAATAACTTAACAAATATTCTGGTCTTACAGAAGAATCTTCACAAGGATCTGCAGTTAATGCTAAACTCGCAGAGTTCCAAAAAACTGGTACTGTCAAATGTACACACTCTGCATCAGGTAAAGATCTTAAAACAGTTGACCTTGTTGCTTCTGTTCCTATTAGTAAAAATGAAAAATATTATTTGGTTCTTTAATTTATACAAATATGTGTTAACACTTACCAGTTAAAGCACGAGCTTCTAATAATTCAGCAACAATCTCAGATTCTGTTTCGGTAGAAGCAATGCTTTCAGACCACCCATATTCTTCTCTAATTTCTTCAGGAAGCACAGGATTTCCTGCAACTAATGCAGCTACTGTTGCACCTCCTTCTGGCATAGGAGTTTTTGATCGTTTTTTTAAAGCTGCAAGAGATGGTACAACTAATAAGGAAAATCTTTCGCATAAATAATCTTCTCCAGGGTTTGATTGTAAAGCTGGAAGTGGCGCCAAATATAACGATTTTTCCACTACCATAATTAATTCCTTTCTTGCTGGTGGTAAGAGATCTTCAAATGGTGCTAAAAGTAAATCGTAAAGTACTTGAATTGGTAATGGTGACTGCCATGTAGGTCCTTTGGTCCCTCGTCCCCACCGAGCACTTCCCGCTCGTGAACTAACTGAACCCACACTAAACAAACTGCTTAAACTGTATGAACTAGCATTAAGATGGTGTCCTCTTGATGGTATTTTTGTTTCTTCAACAAGTTCACTTGTTTCATCTAAAAGAGCTTCTCGTGCTTGCAAAACTCGTTTTTCTAATCCTATACCATCATCCAAACTTGTAGAATGAAAACGTAATAGTCCCCGACCAGGAGCTAAGCACCAAGCATGTAATTCACATCCTACTTCACTGGAATATTATTTCATGTATATCAACCTTTTTGTAGAATTATGATTTATTTGTATTATTTATTGATAAATTTAAATTACCTATAATATAAAATAACTCCACGTTGTCTATCAATAATTTCAGAATAATGCGCAGCATCATCCAAACAATTACTTTTACTTCGTCTTGATCTTTCCGCCCAATTCAGAGCTTCTTCGGCTCTATTTAAATTAATTAATACTTTTTGTAACATTCTATATGTTTCTGATAACAACTCAGACTTATTTGGTTGTCCACACATAAGAGTTGAAGAAATTCCGTCTAATGATTCTAATAAATTTGCTGCTTTTTCTAAATGTTCTACAGCAATAACTGCTTCTCCAGCTTCCCAATGGACAAGACCAAGTCTATGTCTCAATCTGGCTGCTTCTTCTCTTCTTCCTAATCCTTCAGATAATGATAATCCAGATTGCAAATAACTCAAAGCTCGTGATAAATCACCACACAAATGGTGAAGTCGACCTAAACTGGAAAATGCAGCTGCTCTTGCTGGTTGATCTCCAGCAGCTGCTGCAAGACTTAATGATTGTTCTTGTAATCTTATTGCTTCTTCAAATTGTCCTAAAGCTTCTTGAGTCACACCTAAGTTTGCACAAGCTCTAGCTTGTAATCCAGCTGCATCTAAAGCTTCAGCAATTGAAAGTTCTAATTGATGATGTCGTAATGCAGAATTTGGATCATCCATTAATAAATGAACAGCTCCCAATCCACTAGCAGCCTCTGCTTCAGCAGCCTTGTCCCCAAGTCCTCTGGCAAGAGCCAATTGATGTGATAAACAACTAACAGCTTGTTCGTGATTACCTAATGCAGCATGTACTCGACCTATAAAATTGATATTATCAACTTATACATTAAAATGTAATGTAATTCCCTAATGTAATTCTTCATATATTGATTACCTAAATCTCCGTAAGCTGCACCTCTCGATTCTGGACTATCAACTTCATGTGCAGCTACTAATCTTTTTTCAAAACAAACTAAAGCTTCTTGTAAGTTTCCAGTTGCTTCTCGGGCTCGACCTAAACCTCGATATGCTCTTTCTTGTTCCCTTATGCTTTTTAGTTTTGTAGCAGCTGTTAATTGCTGCTCGTGACATTTAATAGCTTCTTCTGGATCTCCCAAAGCTTCATAACAATCGCCTAGATTGCCAAGTGCCCTAGCTTTATTCAGTAAAGCTGTGCCTGTGGTTAATGGTTCTAAAGTAGCTAACTGTTGTTCAAAATACCCAATTGCATCTTCATAATGTGCCATATTAAGT